ATCATCATCATCATCATCATCATCATCATCATCATCATCATCATCATCATCATCATCATCATCATCATCATCATCATGACATCAACAACAACAAAAATATCTTTAACAAAAGTGATTTGAAGTTAAATTCAACTTCTGTTTCTAATTAAACTATAACTTCTACTTTGAATTCATCATCTTTCTATCCCAACAACATTTTATTGCTTTGGATTTGATTTTATATCATTTCAACTTTAAATTCAAGCCTACAATCATTAACATCAACATTAAAACTATCAAATGTAAACAAATTGCATCAACAATAGTTATTATTTAGCTACAAGACAACACCAAAATTACCAATGTCATTGTCAGCAAAGCAAGTCAGCAACAATGTATTCCTTCATTATAATATTAAAGGAGTAAATAATTAATAATGTTTTATCATTTATCACATGATTTCCAATGGATTTATTGGAATTGATATATACTTTTTTTGATGTAAAATAAATATAAATAAATATTTATATGCTTTTATTTTTTATATTATTAAATTAACAATTGATTACATATTGAAAATTCTGTTGATTCCTTAAATATATAACATATTGATACATTTTTTATTATTTAACAATCTATCCATCAAATTTATAAATTCCATCCAATTTTGATAAATCCATTCTAACCCATAAACAAAATTAATAATTATAGAGGATTTGGCTTGACTATTCCTTTAGATACAAAGAAATTGTTTAAAATAGGAATTAATTGTTGTGCAATTGTGAAAGAGAAAACCAATTTAGGACCAACAACAATTAATTTAGGTGTCACTCCTTTAAAGAATGCACTTGTGCCTAAAATAATGATAATAATAAAATTATTAAAATTATTTTTTACCTTCAAAAAAAAAAAATTTTTTTCTTTTTAATTTTAAATTACTACCTTCTTTGAGTATCATTTTGCGAATAATTTGTGTCCCAGTTTCAGGTGAATCAAAAGGTCTATTTTGGATACGTGTTTTAACTACATCAAGTGGTTGAGCCACACTGATAGAAGCTATAGCACCACCAATTGATGCACAGAAATTTTGAAGAAATGTTGCTTTAGAGTAATCTTTTAATCCAAACAAATATTCTTTAACAAAAGCTGATCCACCAAACTAGCATTAATAATGATGATTATTATAAATTTTTAATTAGTTACTGTTAAATTATTAATATTTGTATTGTAATAATAATGATATAATAATGTCATTATGAAATAGCTTTCTTACTAATGCAAAACTTCCTGGTGCATTACGTGCTGCTGTCCAAAGACCACCTCTGAACACATGTGTTTTATAAATCAATTATTATTATAGAGTTCTTCTTTGGTCATGTATAATTAGTCATTTATATAAGTGGGTGATTACCTATAAAGTCCAAACCCTTCATCCCAAAAAATTTTGAAAATATTTCTATTTTTTAATGTATCAGGATTTGTTTGACGTTTAATTTTCAATACATCCAATGGTAAAAGTGCCACTTCTCCAATGCCAATTAAACTATCATTATAATTAATTAATTTGGAATCGTTTTAAAATTAAATTCATCCTGCTAATCACATCATATCATCCATTCCAAACATATTTACCTTCCAGCAGTGGCATGTATTATAGTCTTACCACTTTTTTCACCAAATAATTTATAGAATGCATCTTTATGATTTTTGTTGATATAATCTTTTACATATGGTTGACCACCATATTTATAGATCCTTTGAAGTACTTTGTATCCACCTGCATAACCTAGCCCTGGAAATAATGATGTGTATTTACGGAAAAAAGTTGCAGAATGCTTATCCTATAATAGTAATATTATTTATTCATTGGGGGAATTTTTCTTTGTACAAAAAAAAAATTTCCAAGAAAAATAAGAGATTTTTACTTTAAATATGGCTTCCCCTAAATTATTAAAACTCTGGGATAATGGTGCACCAGGTACAAAAACCTAATAAACAAACAATTTAGTTAATTGAATTAATTATATTCTATAATTTTTTCCCCATAAAAAGTCCAAATATTTACTTTTTGTTGATTAGTCATTAAACGTTTTGCAATAGTATCAACAGGATGAAATATAAATAATTCTAATATTCCTGAAGTTCCAGAACCTAATAAACGAGCAAGTCCTGACTCCTTTTGTTTTCCTGAGCTAGCTGGTGGTGACATTATTTATTTATAAATTTAAATGTTGAAAAAAAAATTAAATTTTTTTTTGTTTTTTTTAAAAAAAAATTTCTTCGAATATTGTACTATGTTAAACTTGAATATTTGATCAAAGATTTTATTACATAGATTATGATTATCTGCAACAAAACCAAACAAACATTATTATTATTTATTATTATTATTATATATACATATCACAAAGAAATTTCGGGGATCAAATAATTATCGTTATCATTATTATTATCGTTCAAATGACTTGTGTTACATACATTTTTAAGAAATTCTTTCGCGTTTCAATTATTATTATACACTCCCTCCGGACCGGGTACAAATATCCGACCACCTGATGATCATTTTAATAATCGGAAATGTTACGCCTTATGTAGTTTAAAATTTTATTAATCAAAACCGGGTCTGGTGCATTAAGTAAACATGTTTTTAAAAGTTAATTTGCATATAAACTTAAAGTCTTGTCGAGTTTGCATTATTAATGAATTTGGGATGAAAACTTTAAACTAGACAAAAAATTCCGTGATTTTTATGAAAACTTTGAGCTTAGTAAAAACCTTCAAAATTCCGTTGAACCATGGATTACGTCATTAAGTAAGTCCATTTAAAATATCTTGAATTGTATATGGTTAAAATTCGAGAAAATTCGATCAAGTGTAGACAACAAAACGTAAAGCCTTAAAATTTGCATTTTGTCAACTTTATTGTGTTTATATAATAAAATTACGGGTGGTCGGGATACTTTTTTAAACCTTTTCACGAACTAATTTATGCCAACACCATATTGTGGGTCTAATTCATTTCGTCGACAATCATTTCGTTGGCGGTCATTTCGTCGACACCCATTTCGTCGAAAATTATTTCGTCACAAAAAAAAACTTCATTAAACAAATTTCTCCTCACACTTCCCACACACCTCGCTTTCCTCACCTAATTTCTTAACTAACTTCACACACTCCTCACATCTAACTCGTTCGGTCTCTGGCTCGAGGATGAAATAATTTTCGACGAAATGAACATTCGATGAAACAAACTTTCGACGAAATGATTGTCGACGAAATAAACGCGACCGATAAATTAATAGCAAATGAAAACTTGGACGAATTTTTTACTCTTCACATCCGCCAAACCCTCACGACAAAAACTGCGGGGTCGTTTCTGGATAACTTCCTTGTTATTTTAAATTAGATGTGTCTAATGAGGAGCTTGTGTTAAACTTTGGTACCTTGATACCCAATTTATGTAAATATTAAAAATTAATGAAACTTGCATTTGCCTATTAACTGCTGCATTCATTCCTTTATGTGTTTAGAAGCATAAATGTTATGTAAAAATGTAACTTCTAGCATTGATTCACTATACCTTTTTTCAAATACTTGAAGCACCTCTCTTTTAACTCTGATAGAACCAGAGATTTCTATTGGTAGCCACGAAATGGTTTATTATTTAAATGCAAATAATTAATTCCGAATTACTTTGAAAGTTATAGATATCTACACAAATTTATTTGGGATAGATTTTTATACAATTATCCATCGGCAATTCTACTTATTAATTAATTAACCATTTAATTTGCCTTATTAAAATTACATTTCATAATTAATATGCTTTCATTACTTACTTTAGAAATTTCTTCATTTAATATTCTACTTGAATGATATGTTAATGGGTGTGATCTGTGAATTTGTTGTGAATTACCACCACCATTATTATTACTACTGCTACTGCCACTACTACTACCATCAACATGAATACTATTAATTTTATTTGCAGCAAAAACAAATGGCTCTCTAATAGTTGGTCTCTTAGTTGGATCCATATCCCAACACATCTGCATCATTTGCACATAATCATCAGGCATTCCAGATAGTATTGGTGGTCTCAAACCTGCACATATATTAAAAATTAAGTGATGATTGTGAGCTCTATCATCAAATGATGGATGTCCCGCAAATATTTCCCACATTAACATCCCAACACTATAAATATCTGATTATTTTGTGTTCTTGTTTCCTCTAAATAGCTCTGGTGCAATATATGATATAACTCCATAGATTTTATTTGATGATTTTTCATCAACTGGTCCACATAATCCTAAATCTGTGGTATAACTAATATCACCTTCATTACTTAATATATTACCACTATGCAGATCACAATGGATTAAATCTTTTTCGTGTATGTCATATAGTGCATTACATAAATAAGCAAAAATGTTAATTCTATCTTTTAATGTTAATTTTGAATGATTTTTTTAAATAATCTCTTAAATTCCCTTGTGGAAGATGATTCATAATTTCCATTATCTGGGAATTTAGTTATATCATAACAAGATACAACTAAACATGAATTAATTTTACAATGATTTCAATAAAATTAATTAATTTAAAAACGATTGTCATGGATTACTTGAATTGTTTAATGATTTTAAATACTACATACTGAAATCCAAAATAGCTAAATTCCCTTTTATTTTTATCATAATCAACAATACTTCCTCTTGTCCACACAACAGTATAAATTGAACTGAATCCACCTTCTGTTAACTTTTTTATATTTTCAAATTGTTCATAAGATCATTGGAAGAGATGAAACCTGTTGACATTCTTGAATAAAACCATCAATAATCCTATTTCCAGATGTCCAAGTAGGATCCCGGACAATTATAATTGAGGTTATAGGTACTATATTTTGATGCAGTAATTTTTTTGAATCATATTGAGCACATGTGTCAATTTACAATTTTGAAAAAAAAAGAAGCCAACATAAATGAGATTTTAGGTTATACACCAAAGGTCTTGCCTACTGATTCAATTAACAATACTTTAGATGTAACCAGACAGGCACTTGGTGCTGTTGACATTATTGGAGAAATTGTTAAACCTTTTGTTCCATTGATAGACATGATTGGTAAAGTTAATGTCTCCAAATCTTATAGTAAATAATGGTTATTTTAAAGAGAAGAATCTTTTAACATGGCTCTAATGATTAGACTTTGTGTAACATTGGTTATATTTTGATCATTTTTACCCCAGTGTAACAGGGCTCCTAACCATCAGTTCTATGGAATTTTGATGTCAAAAAATATATATCTATAAAATAAACTCTTTTTACTATGACAAGTTAGGTATTGTGTAAAGTTTTACAGCATAGTACCTATGACCTCAATTATAATTGTCCGGGGCCCTGTCCAAGTATTGAAAAGACTCTGTAGGTGTAAACCAATACACTTTTCACAAAATCTATCAGAGTATCTTGTTGTTTCACACTCATTACATTCTCTTGGTTTTCCCCATTTATTGATTGCATTATCTAATTCAAATGTACAAATAAAATTTTCTCTACAAAATCCTTTTTCATTTTCTAAAAGTTCTTTGTTTTCTTCAACTAATTGTGAAAAACATCTTTTTTTTGATTCTCTCAGTCAAAAGTAGTTGAAACATTATTATTCATTTCACGATAAATTTCCAATATTAATTCTCTTCTGCCTTGTGTTAATAATCTTTCAAATACCATTTCTAGATTTATATCTATATTCTTGGCTTTAAAAGTTTTTAAATAATTTTGTTACTTTTATTTAAAAGGGCGAAAATTTTTTTATCGGGGGAAAAATTAGCAGTAATTTATGGATCACGAAAGTTGCACGAAAAGAAGGAAACACGGAAACACTGATCGAGAATTCAAACCAGTCCAACTTGATAATCAATATAACTCACGGAAATTATCAAGAAAGATTATTCTAATATTCTAAATTGTAACGCTTCTTTAATTCTGAATTCAAAATCATTTGTTAAAAAGAACTTGGAATTATTCTTGAAAGTTCTTGTTTATTTTTAAGGAATACATTTAATTAGAACAAATTAAGAGTTCTTGGAAAACAGAGAACTAATAACATCATCACAACAATAATAAATAACAAACTATCTTTATCCTTGTCCTTGTCCTTGTTGTTGTCTTCGAATTTTATATTTTAGTGATGATAATAAATCCATCTCTAATAATGAATCCATATCCCGTGCATAATTAATCTTATATTCATTACTATATTTTACATTATTTTTTTCCTATCTTAACAGAGGGAACACTTTTGCTAAATATGGTTTTATATATTTTTATTTATTTTTTATTTAGAAAACAGACACTAAGTAGATACCTAAGACCAGCAGAAACCTAGTTAAGGCCAGAAGAAGATATTAGGCCGAAAATAAAAATATTAAAGTAAAGCCCGAAAGTACGAGGTCAAGTATATTAATAATTTGGACGTTCTTGACTCGGACAGATAAACAAAGAGTATCTGCTGGGAAAAGCGTGATCGGGGGTAATGAAAATTATTACCAGAAATTATTAGTGAAAGACATTATTGAAATTATTGATTATATTGGTGAAGAAAAGCAATTGCATTTTAGGATTAGAAAATTAAAGAGTGTTGAAATTATAAATAAAGTATACTCGGACACGATCTCATAGTCAAAGTTCGTTAAATTTCATATTCAATAAATTCATAATCGCTTAAATTCATAATTTTTCAGGAATCAATGCCAATTATATTAAAGTTCTATTCGATAATTTCATAATCATAATAAAATCTCGATAATGGATAAAATCATAATTCTCTTACTTTTATTATATAAAAATCTCGCACTTTAAATTCATGTCTCTAACTATTGTTATTACAGTAAATTAAATTTTCTTCTCTAACTATTGTTATTAAAGTAAATTAAATTTTATTCTCTTGTCAAGTTTTGAAATTAAGAGTAAAAATACAGATGATAATTGACAAAAAAAAAACAATTTCTTGAATGTGCAAAGAGCTTTTAGTTAATAATAATAATTGGGAATTTTTCATAATTACAATTTTTTTATCAAAAATCTTAATAGAAAAAATCTCTATAAAGCCATATATTTCCTATCCTCATCATATCATGAAATTAAAGAGTAACTCTCGATAATGGCATGATTCGATAAATTCATAAAATTTGTTGTGACAAACCTATGGATTGACTGTATTACAAACATTATTCAGCCAATTGTAGAGAAAGTCCATTCTAGTAAGTATCTTATTATGTCCCTATGAACACAGAGAGAAATATAACATTAAATCTTTCACTAACTTTTGTAGGGCTGTGGTGACTGTATATATGACTGCCCACATGTTATTATTATTATTACTATGTAGTTATCCGCGAAACATATCCGCGATTTTGCAAATTTCTCATGAGAATATAATATTCGATTCGTGGTTATTATTATTATTATTATAATATTAAAATATATATTAATATCTAATTAACAACGGGAGATGCATGTATTGCCTAACATAAAAAAGGAAATTGTGGAAATTGACAATAAATCTTATTGTTTTATTCTTTACTTGTTATAATTATGTAGTTAGCTTGCAAATAATTGTGGCTAACCATAATGAATATGGCGAAGGAAATTAAACAATAATATTATTTTCTTTTATTAAATTTACTTGATAAGTAACATCATTAATTAAATTGACAATAATGGAAAGGAATTTGTGAAAAATTTTTTTATTAAATTGACAAAAATGGAAAAATAGAAATTTTGAAATCTAAAGATAAAAAAATGTCAATATTGTTGTTTAAAACCATCGGGTTATTCGTTTGTTTGAATGAAGATAATTAATAAAAATGAAAGCTCAATTTTCTTATCATAAAATTTGGTTTTTAAAAAAATCAATTCACAAAACACGAAGCAAAATTAAATTTCTTTAAAAAAAACATTCACAAACATAAAGCAAATTTTAAATTTTAAAAATCAATTAATCTCTCGGTCAAAACGAATTCAAAATACAATCACACAATTAATGCCATTACTTTACTTTGTGGATAGAATTATATATATATGTATATAAATTTATTTCTTATTTATTATACTTATTATTTTTTAAATATTAATAAAGCTCCAAATTTTTTTTTTAGAAATAAAAAAAAAATTGATGCAAAAGAAAGCAAAAACTAATAAACTAAAATAACTATATAACAATAAGTTAAAGAAAACCATATTTTTTGATAATTTTTTGGAAATTCGCGGAAATCGGCTTAATTCGTGTTTCGCCAATCATGTGTAGAAATCTACATTAAAAGAAACTCATTACCAAATTTAGTCGTGAGATTCAAAATATTGTAACACGAAAATTATTGTTGCATAACTTTCAAATTTAAAAAAATCTATGAAAAAGAAAATTTCGAGACAAATTTTTTTTTTTAGATTAATAGACTCCATTTTTAAAGCTGAATTGAATGGTGGTGGGTTTTTAAAATCCAATGTGTGGATCACATAATATTTCAAAAATTTTAACTTTTGAGTATAGATGATCCGCACTGTAGTGATCTGCAGCGATAAGTTAATTATAAAAATTTTACCTCAAAATGGAATCTCACAATTAAAACCACCAACGCATATTAACACATATAAAAAAACATAGTAATTTTTATTTCCAAAAGGTTATATTTATTCTAGCATATATTATGGATATTATTTATAACAAATAATAAGAGCTTTAATAAAAAAATGAATTTTGATAATAATAAAAAGAATAAAAAGACAATGGTTGACATATTTATATTAAATATAAAAAAAACTAAGCTTTAGGCAGAAGATTTATTGTTTAAAAGGGTTTTTCGTAATAAAACCCATATTCTATATGTTTAGTACAAATAAAAACAAAAAAATTAAATTTCTCTATGTTTTTTAGCATTTCAATTTTATATGCAAAGCCCTTGGAATCTTGCGATACTCAATATAAAAGTTAGGAAAAACAAAAAGTTATACATATGTAAACTTGATAAGTCGGTTTTGGCCTAACTCGGCTAAAAATTTTTCACCACTTTTTTTTACCATTTAAAAAAAATCGATAAGTCGCGATAAGCGCCAAGAAAGCTAACGTGTGAATTAAACCAATTACTTTTTGAATTTCTTCAAAAATGCGCTGTTTTACTTCGAGATTGTGGCAGACATAATAATAATAATAATAATAATAATAATAATAATAACAAGTAATCACATTGCCGAAAGATTTTTTTTAGAATTAGAATTTAACCAATCAAAATAATTAAATCACCATCTCGATCTTTATTTTTTCATTCATTAGAATCAGCATTATTGCTTTGATCCTTCCCCTTCCTGGTACGGAAATTCTCTTGAAAGGTTAAGTTCGATCTGGAAAGAAGCAAGGATATTCAATCAATAAAGATTTAAATAAATTCTTTATATATAAACTTTAACCTAGTATCCGAGAAGTTCTCTTGCACATTCATTTTGGTTATGTTACTTGAACCGCACACCTGTTACCATTTTGCTTGACCCGGACCGTTTCTTTCCACAAACTCTTTACCAGTGATTCCGACCTCAGCTATTTTATTAACCGGACTGCTGATAATGGTCACAAATCATAACACTATAACATATTGATTTATTTATCTGATGACTATTTGAGCGTTTTTTTCTAGATATTCACAATCGATCGTTTATTTTTTATGCCTTCAAAAAAGTCTATTGAAAAAACTATTTATAAAAATAAACTTTATTTAGATTTGTCATTACTGTTATTAGATTAAATTAAATCAAATCACACTATACAACTCTTTCTAACTCGTTAATAAACATATATCTTGAAAATCTTAAATATAAATATCTAAACCAAATTAATTGACTTTTGTGACATTCAATTGCTTGTACTGTTTGATAAAATTGTTCTTTTGATGAAACAAATAACATCAAATTGTTTAAAGAAGATGAATCTAATTCTTTATTGGTGGTATCCTTTGATGAAATATGACGAGATGATGATATGAAATTTAAATAAGTTAAAAGAGAATCAAATATTGAAATGTACTTCCTTATTATATTAACCGTCACAAGTTTATATAAAATAAGATTTGTTTCAGGAAATGTTTTGATAAAATGTCTAAAAGATTAAATAGTCAATATTATTATCATTGTTATTAATGTATTAAAAACAAAATTCTCTTTTACAAGTATTGATTTTGTTGTATATTCTCACCTTGCACCATTATAAGCTGAAATATGATTTAAGTGGTCAGAAATTCCTTTATTGTCAAAAGTTATTACCTAAAAATACCATTCGTTAATCACGCGCGAGTAATAAATTAATAGTCTCTTGTTTCTGATTAATTAATTAGTAATTTACTTACAACTTCTACTCCATTTTTAATAACGTAATCTTTAATTATATTTGAAATTAATGCTGGATCCCAATGTTTTGTTGGATTATCTTGTAATAATCTATTATTACAATAATGATCATGATTAATAACCGTCGTCGTAATCATGATAACAATAATAAGTATAATATATAACATTTACTGGTGATTTTCTATATTAACATGAGTTTTTTCAATTCCAAGTCTTAAACAGCTCTCTTCCAATTCTTTTGTTCTAATTTCGCCCATTCCTGATTGATTTCCTAATAACAAAATAATAAGATAAATAACAAATAAATAACAAATAAAAAAATAAATAATTATAATATGTATGATAAATAACCTTTTATTTACCATTAGATAAACATAAAACAATTATATCATTTTTACATTTTAAATTTAATAAAGTTGGTCCAAAAAACATACATTCATCAACGGGATGAGAAATTAGTAACAAAATGGTTTTTTCCTTTAATCCATTAGCTTTGTTAATTTTATTTGAAATTTTAAAATAAAATAACAATGTAAATATAATCAAAGTGAAAAATATAAAAACAATTAAACTTGAAATCATTTTATCATTAATATTATTAAAATGGAAAAGAAAAAGAGAATTTTTTTTTAAAAAAAAAGTATTTTACGTCAATTTATAGATTCAAGAAACAACTTCAAATTCACATGTTTCATTCATTGTGTAATTGGTTTTCAAAGCATGTGACCTCCAGTGTTATATATTAATCAATTAAAATTCATTTTGGAATAAATTTGTTATAGTAGGATAACGTCAGTATGTAGTTATTATTATGATTGTACATGGAATACCTTTATATAGAATAAAATCCGCGCGGAGATATTGACATAATAATAATATTCTGGAAAACTTTATTTATTATTATTGTCAAATTAAATATTAATGCGAATTTTAGTTTATATAATTACGCGGATCGATTTTCCGAACAAAAAAGGGCATACAAAATCATCTTTATTAATTAAAAAAGTAAGTTTTGTGTATTTGGCATAATAAAACGATTATGAATTATAAATGTTTCGTTATCAAACAATGATTAATGTCATTAATATTAGAGTAAAAATACATTCCCAAAGAATAAACTACTTCTCGTGGTATAATATGAATTGTAATGCCTCCTCTTGCCAAGTTTTCACATGAAAAAATGCCGTTGTGATACTGGAAGATAAACCTTAATAAAATTATATCTAAAAAAATTCTGCTGGCTTTTCTACCCGTGCATGTCGTTGCCCACATTTCTCATAAAATGTGTTTCTTTTTTACCCAAATAAAAAATCCATTCTTACAAAATGAATAAATATTTGAAAGTTAGAGTATGAAGTAAAGTATTACTCACTATTTTGACTTCTCATTGTTTTTGGTAAATTTTTTATTAATAATGCGAATTATAATGTAACCGACTGTAGTGTCCTATAGTAATAGCTATTTATCATCAAACATATGTTATATCAAAGATAACAAATTATTATTATTATGTGTGTATTTTTTAGTATCTTATCATATATATATATATATAAATTTTTTTAAAAATGTAATTATAACTTTAAACCGTTATAACTTTTTTTTTTTTTTCATAATAAAATTGAACAAACCTTTTTATAACTTTATTGTTTAAGTATTCTATAACAAAGTTACGGAGAGCCTTTTGGTTCTATATAGCCCATGCGGTTATAAAGTTTATCTATTAACGAATTTTTCAATATCTTGGCTATATAAAAATTTTTTTTTATTTAGTAAGAAAAAACCTCACTGTAATCTAAAAGCTTGACCTATTTTCCCTTAGTTTCATGTTTATTTGAAGATTTTTTTATTTATATACAGTCTACTCTCTCTATAACGACCACTAAGTAAAATTTCTCTATAACGAACTTCCCTTTTGTCCCCGTTTCAATTTTTTATAATTAATTTCTCTCTCTATAACGATCATCTTAATAAATTCTCTCTATAATAATAACGACCAAAAGCAGAGAAATTACATATAGGGACAGAGAGTTCGTTATAGAGAGAGTGAACTGTAGTTTTTATTATTGATCGGCATATTTCACACCCCAGTAACCGAGGTGGGTTATAATAATCTGTAGCACAACGTCCAAAAAAAACATGCATATCGATTACATGAAATTATTATTAACTCTCATCCAATAAATAGATACAATGATAGTAAATGAGAAAACAGGATCTTTTTCAAATTTCACAGAACAGCAACTGGAACAGCAGGAACAAGATGCAGATGATAAATTAGAAGAAGGTGGTGGTAAAGTAAGGGAAGGGGATAAAAAGAAAAAACCTTGGAATGAAGAAGAAATGTTGATACTTTTGAATTACATAAAAATCTATTATGAAATGTTTAAAGTAAATAGATCATTATTTTGTCGAAAAATACATAAAGAGAAGGTTATCAAGGCAAGAAGTATTGCTGCAATTCAAAGAAAAATTCAAATTGTGCTCAAAAAATATGATGACAAGGAATATAATTGGAAATGGTATAAATATGCAGAAGAAATTTTTGGTGATAATAATCATAATCATAATAATGATAACAATAATGATAATGATAGTGATGATGATGATAAACTTGTGTCAAGTAAAGATCAAAAAACGATTGGTAATGATGAGGTAGAGATGGTAGGAGTGCAGGTTGTTTTAGATGTTGATAATCAAAAAAGTGTTCAAGAACCTGAAGAAAGAGATAAAATTAGCATCCAAAATATCAAGAATAATAATAAACGACAATATTTTGATAGCAATAATGATCCTGCTTTAATCAGTAACAAGTCTAAGAGTAAAAAAAACAATTTACCAGCAAAAATAATTGCAAAGGCAATCAGAGAATTAGCAATAAGTAAAGAAAGGATTTGGAGAGAGAAGTTAAGATTGGAAAGTGAGAGAAGTGATAAAATTTATGAGATACAAAAAAGAAAAAATGAAGTAGTGAAACTTAAATTGGATTTTGAAATAGAACAATTTCAACTGGCAAATAATATTAAATTTAAAGAATTGGAGTTACAACAAATGCATTTACAACAAAAACATCATCGTTAAATTTTATAATTTTCAATATATAAATTGTATTGATTTAAAAAGTCAAGAAATAAAATTAAACATGTACATCAATTTAATACTATTTTAAAACTAAATGTTCCAAAGTTCCAGATAATCCACTTGAGCAACTTTATGCATTCTCTATTCTAAGGATGGTGATTGGTGTATTTTTATATTTTTTAGAAATAATTGGATTTCCTTTAACTAAAAGGAATCTTGATGCAAATTGTGTGTGTGTGTGTATAATACATTAATATGTCTACTGTATACTTATCCTAGGCAATTATAAGCAGTTCAGTGATTATTGATGAAATAATAAATTTGACTTGATTAAATAACCTAATCAAATATATTTACATGATGCCAAAAACTTTTATGTCTTTAATATGCTCAACTTTCTAGGTCCTTGGTGATTTTTGGTTAGCTGATTGTGCATCAATCAAATATTATAATTTTGTAGTATATTGTTTTTCTTAATACAACATCTGAAATCACAAATTTCCTTCTAGATAAACAGCCCAGTTTACCAATTCCATCATTCTTTGTACTGACTGACAAAAGATGGATCTAAAAATATGAAAATGGTGATTACTCTTACAGCTTGCTTGATTGAATATTCTTCTTCACAAAATAAACTATTAAAAAGTGTCACATATACTTTCATGTATTTTTCTTGCAAATAATTTTTATTTAAAATAAAAAAACTAGAAATAAATTTATATCACCATACTTGCAAAATTGTATATTCAAAATGTAGCATTGAATGAAAGCTTAATTAAAACTTACCCTTTCACTCTAAAGTGCTTAAATTTTTAATTGATTATTTTATTTATTTATAATAAAACTTTTGAAACAAAAAAATCAAAAAAATCAGCATCTACAGTGGTTTTTAAATATAAAGCTATATTTTAATAAAGGTTCAAATTCACAAGTACTTTCTTTATGTATGCATACCTAGAAATTCAATTTCTTTATTGAAATTAGTTATCCGTGATGATTTGGAGCTGGTCTTTGACAATAATACTGGATATCATCAAATTCTACTTTAAAAGCCAAATCATTCTAAATATAACAATTGTTACAGATCAAAGTGCATCTCATTTCTTATGTGGTGATGAGCTATATGTTCAGTGGAAGGATTTTCTGGCAATTCATTTTCCTGTGGGTTGGAAATTGGATTAATATCAAAAAATTTTAGGTTCATTAAAAACAAAACAGTCAGTCTTACACATCTAAAGAGAATATAGTTTAGGTTTGTTTCAATATTTAAAGGCTCACTTTTAATCAATAGAGCCCACCTGTCATATATCTTTTTTTGCTCTTTGTTGTTTAGCCATTAGTTTAACTTTTGGGATGATACTGTTGCAATAGTAAAGGTAGTTGTGCTAATGATAATCTTGATAAAGAACCAATTCAATAAATATTAAAATTTTATGGCCATGTCATGCACATATTTTAGAGTTTAACAACGAAAATTTTGAAATTACATAATGATTGAACTAGTGATATTATACGGGGGCAAAGTTTGTTGTAAGAATTTGAATTTTGAATTTTATTATAACAAGAAAATTGATGTCATTCTTGTTTGTGATAATTGTAATTTTTCTATTACTATGGTATTCTTGAATATCCATAATCACATTACCCGTCAGACGAAACCCAAGCCAAGAAATCGCGGACAGTGGTAGCACTTGAAAATTTGGAATCTTGATAATACAAATAAATGTTCACTTTGTCTGGTTTTGTAATATACTGGTTACACTATTCGGAATTCTAATCGATCGTCTAAAATAGTTGACCCTCGTCTCTGCATGATGACATTTCGCTTGACTAAACTAATTTAATTAAGACCATGTGTAAAAAAAATTTAATTTAAATATTAACCGGCAATAATAATAATTTCCTTCATCTTTTCATCTTTTTATATATTTATAAAGAAAATATACATGTGTAAAATAGATTGTTGATTGATCGAGACCCATTGTTTTTTTTTAAGCTTTAATAAAAAAATATTTTTTTACTACTATTTTAAGAAGTCACTTTCAAAACTTTAATATACCTTTAAAACAATGCAAAAGCTGGCTTTACGCATATTAAGTCGATTTTCTCGTAAATCATTCATTCGTAGCGCTTGGAAAAATTTAAATAGTTTGAGCGAACACGATGAGTTAGCAGAAGCTTTAGAAACTTTAATATCAATGTCTCACGAAGGTAACGATTTATTTATTATCTTAATTATTATATATGATAACTCTAGTTTAATTAAACTAATTCAATGCAACTATTG